GGCCCACGAGGACCGGGCAGCGGCCTGGGCGGCATGTGGTGGCCTCGCCCTGCCTCTGGGCGGCTGTACCAGGCTGACGGCGGCAGTCAGAGGCACGGGCCTGGGTCCGTGCGGGGGAACGCTGTCCCCCTGGGGCCGGTGAGCGGGCGCCCAGACACCCGCTGGGGTGTTGGCGGGCCCCAGCCCGGCACCGGGACGTGACTGCCCGTTGCCAGCAGGCCCTTGGGCGTTCTGAGTGGCGTCTGGATGATGCCAGGGCGGTGGGCGCCGCCTTGCGTCTTGAGTTGGCCGAGGCAGGGTAGGAAGAACGCGTGCGCTCTGTTCCCCGCGGGGCGGCGGCCGGCTCTGAGCCCCCAGCTGCCTGTGGGTCCTTGTCCCGGGGGCAGTTGCTCAGGCTTTGCTTTATTTCATTTGTCTTCCTATGTCTTTACTCCTCTTCTTCTTTTTTAAATACAGCCTTGCTTGTGTAACATCAAAATGAAGCAGGGCAAAGAAATCAATGCGTTATCTTGGCATCGATCCGGCCTATTCTCAGGTGGCCGAAAAGCCCAGAGCTGTGAAATGAAAACTTCATTTCGTATCAGATTTTCTTAATTGTCTCCGGAACACTTGCTGGCGCTTGCCAGAACTCTCCAGAGAGAGGTGGCGCTCTCGGCCTGAAAGGCAGGTGTTCGCTGGAAGGATGGGGCGGGAAGGGGGGGCCAATACGAGAGAAGAGCAGAGGCCTCGAATCAGGCCCAGGAAGCTGCTGCTGAAGCCGCCGCGCTGGCAGAGAGGCTCCAGCTGGGCCGCTCCCACCGTCCTTTGTGGACAGCGGCAGGGACCTCCGTTCGGGCCCAGCTGCTTTCGAAAGCTGTTTCCACTTGTTTTGCACGGAGCCAAAGCAGAAATCAGTCACACAAAATATAAAATTCTTGCTTGAGAGATGAGCTCAGTAGAAGCCCGAGAGCTTCTAGAAACCCCATGGGATGGTCACTTGATGTGCTGTACGGCGCGTCCTTGAAATTGATTTTCGAGGTCTCTACCTGAAGTCTTGTTAATGGAGTTTCTTTGTGGGGCCTGATGATATCTGCTGAATCGGTGTGTTTGTGCATTAAGGGAGAAAGTCTGTCACGTAAATGCTTAGGGCAGACGGGAGGGTCCACAGCAGCCCGCCGGCGCTAGAAGATAGCCCCGGTGACCCGAACTCCGCAGAGTAGCCACGGAGGCCAGATCACGACGTCTGCCACACAGCCTGGCCCCCGGCTCACCCCAGATCACCTGTCTACTCAAGAAACCAAGCTAAAACTCATCATGAGAACGGGCTGCTGTCTGTGTTTGTTGCTGAGAACATGGCGTGTTTTTTTCCTCCAAAGAACTTTTCCATTTTCACTCTTCACTTCTTATTTTTGTCCTAGCCCTTCCCCGGGCCCCGGCAGAAACAGCTGTGCGGTGAGCAGCCGCCACAGCCGGCGCCGATCGATGGCCCTCGCAGCAGAGGGTGGACGGTGCTAATTAGGCTGCCGGGTAGCCTCAGCGGGGTGCAGACAGCGCTAGGCAGCTTTCCCAAACCCGCTCTGCTGCCCGGGCCCAGCACACCACTGCTGCCCACCCCCACGGCTGTCTGGCTTAGGAAAACACAGTTCTTGCCTCTCCCTGGGCCCCAGAAGAAACCCTGGAGCTGGCACTCTCCAGCGCTGGCACCTAGTGCCAGTGCGGGCACGTCCTGGCACCTGGGAGTCACATTTGCACATTCTGGACCGCTCGTAGAGATGGGATCCTCTAAGGCGTGGTCTCTTGCGTCTGACTTCTTTCACATAGCGTGTTGGTCCCCAAGTTCATCCCACCATGTCAGTAACTTTGTTCCTTTTATGGCTGCGTAATACTCCACGGTGTGGCTAAATCGTGTTGTATCTATCTGTTCACAGGTGGCCATTTAGGTCACTTCCCCTTTTTGGCCTCTGTGAATTATTATTTTTTTTTTTTTTACCATCATTCAACTTTACTTTCATACTTTACTGCCTGGGACAGCATTCTTGCGGATGCTGGAGTCGACTGCCACTTCTCGTGTGGAAATGAGTTGCAGACCCTCGACAAGTTGCAAAGCCAGTGCGCGCCTCGGCAGCCCGGCGATGGTCGCCCGCCGCGGCACCGCCCCCTGGCGCTTTGCGGGCGCCGGCGTCGCCCGAGGAAGAGCCGCGCTTTTCCTCGTCAGATGAAGCGTGCACGGCAGCATGGCCACGGTTAGCCCCCAGGCCAGACCCCCGAGGCGTGCAGCCGCCCTCCGTCTCCAGAACCTTCTCGTCTTCCCACACTGGAGGCCTGTCCCTGCTGGACACCCCCAGCTCCCACTCCTCGCGACACCCCTCCCATGTCCTCCCCCCCCCAGCGCCCGCCTCCCCTTTCTCTCCCAGCTCCCTGCCCGCGCCCCCAGCTGTCCACTCCTCCCCCACTCCGGCTTCCTTAGCCCCACCTCTGCCCACTGTGGCCGCTGTGTCACTGCCCACCGTCCTCGAGACTCAGCCGCGTGTCAGACTTTCCTGGGTGCCGGATCCGCGACGCTGGCTGGCTTTGGGCCCTGGGGGAGGGGGGGCAGCGCCCCTGCTGGGGGTCAGCGACCGAGTAAATCCGTAACTGAGGGCCTTGGAAGGGTGGCGCGACCCGAGCCCTGGCCCCCAGCGGCGCCTGGCCTCGGTCTCTGCCGACGGGGGCGCCGGGTCCCCTCGGCCC